AAGATTCCTGCGACATAGCTGGCCTAATTTCAAACATTCCTGACAAGTTGCTGATGTCAGAGCGTTGATCTGGTGCTGCAGTTTGTGTCACCTCCAGATGATATTGGCACTGCGGGCGGAGGGGAAAGCTTTGCAACGGGAGCCCGACAGCGTCCGATCTGAAGCATGGGCGAGCTGCCCAGGGATGCTTCACTTGTTTCCTGGTTACGAGAGACAGACATGTGATGTTTGCTGTTTTGTCCATCAGTTGATGAGCTTACGACCATCGGGGTAACGTACTCTGCGGCGTCGGTCATCACATTTTTGCGCTTTCGTCCTCCGAGACACTGCCCCGCTTTCTGATGTTAGGCACCGCGCGTGAAATTCTGGTTCAGGCGAGCCAGAACCAGAAGGCGCAGCTTTGCGTTGAAAAGGTCTGCAGGATGTGGCAACCGGATCGACATCGCACCGAGCCATCCACCATGAGGGTGTTCTTGTTGGCGCAAGATCTTGCACCAGCACGCGTCGCTCGCTCGATGGTACGTTGACATGGAGCATCGCTCAAGCAGTGGCAGCTTGTAGTGTTTCCGGGGTGGCTTCATGTACTGTTACACCACCATCCTCTTCGACTCGTCTATGTAGTGAACCTTGTCTCGGTTGCCGCCATTCGTTAGCTCATCCTTCTTTTCCTGCTGCTGCTCCTCCTGCACGGCTTCCCCTCCTTGCCGACTGTCCTCCTGACTCCCATGGCTTCTCTGTGTGTGAGTCCTGGTGCTGAGCAGCGTTCCCTTGATATCAGCACGCCTTGTACTCATGAGTGTGCCATGCGACAGAAACTCGGCTGCGATCGCTCCAATTCTTGGTCTTAATGTTTCTTCACCGTTTATCGTCAGATTCTGCTCATCATGTGTCCTGCTACTGATCCTCCTGCTCGGCCTGGTCCTTCGGTCCGCTCGCCCAGTCGCACAAGCGTTGAGCCCCACATGCGCGTGCGTGTGGATCATAGTGCTCCTGGCTTTTCAGGACGGGGCTGGGACAGGGGAAAACTTGTTCCAGAGCTTTCCGGACCGCTCCCAGAGCGTTCCGCAAAGCTCTGAGAAGGCCGCGGCGCCCGATAAATCCTCCAGAACCGCTGGATCTCAGATATCCCCGATATATCCATGTCCGATGTTGTCCTTGTTCTGGCTTGATCTTTCCATCGCCGCCCCACCGCCATCCGCATCGCCATCTCCATCCCTTTCCGTTCTCTCCCCCCAATCCTCTCCCCTCGCTCCTGATTGTTTGCGACTCATTTCCCCGCCCTCTTTGCAGCGGCAGCAGGGTGACATATGGCTTTGTCGATGCGTGAGGTTCTCGATATCTTCTTGTGTGCAGCGCACTGTACCTTGACGATGTTTGGTGCACCTTGAATCAAGGGAGGGAAACCACCCCGACCCCACAATTTGCGTTGACTGAGCAGCCTTGAGCGTTTACTAATGTCCCTGTCTTGTTCGACTCCTTCTTTCGCTGCATTTACTGAACGGCTTCGCTTGTCGGGGTGTTTATTGTGCAGGTGGCTCTTCTGTTCGCTATTGAAGATGTTTGGGGTCGTGCTATCTATTGATGTAGGCCCCCGCCCGCTGCGCACAGCTCTGCAGCTGTAGCAATTTACCCAGGTTGACCGTTTGTCTTGGCAGCGGACCTCACCAAGGCGTCGAGAGTCCACCTATCAGGGTCCACTTCCATCCAATCGGTCCGATTCGATATCGATTCTGGCCGGCCCGATCCGATTCGATTCCGCTGTTCCGAAGATCCGATGCGGCCCGATGCTTGCATGGCGTCGTTGTGCATCCTGTCGCATTCGATCCGATTCGATTCCGACTCCGTGCCGATGCGGTTCGATCCGACGTGCATTTCGATTCGATCCGATTTGCAAGTCCGATGCTGACTGATCCTGCCTACAGGTTACAGGCCAACCCACCCCAGTTACTGAGGCCGTCGCAACTATTGAGCCCGACGGCTCAGCGATACGCCCCATCCAGCTCGCAGCAGGGATGCGGGCGTTGCGGGAGAGGCCATGACTTTGAAGCGTGCACCGAGCAACACAGCTGAGTTGTTGTTTCCATGGACTCGTTCTGCTAAGCTAGGTGGTACTCTGCACTGCCACTTTGCCGTGCTGTGTCACGCCATGCCGTGCCTCGGTGAACACATCGTGGGATAATACTATCCTGGCGAAGGGCCCAACCATATGCAGTTGTGAGTATCGCCGTTGTGGGTATCGCCTTCGGTGGATTTCAATATGGAGCCACGAAACGTGTAAAGGGTGTGTCGAAATGGGGCGGGGATGCATGCGGGCGCAGCCATTGGGGCCTTCGGTTGCGCTCTGTATGGGGCTACGAAAGGTGTTATGGGGCCACGAAGCGCTGTACTGAGTGGGGGAGACGTATGCGGACACCGCCACTGGGGCCTTCGGTGGAACTCCCTATGTGGCCGCGAAACGTTGTACTGGGTGGGGGAGGTGCATGCGAACACCGCCGCTCAGAGCCACGAAACGTTCTACTGGGTGGGGAAGACGCGTGCGAACGCCGCCATTGGAGCCTTCCGTGGAGCTCCCTATCGGGCCACGAAGCGCTGTGCTGGGTGGGAGGAACGCACGTGGACACCGCCAGTGGGGCCTTTGGTGGAGCTCCCCAGGGCCACGGAACGTTGTACTGGGTGGGGGAAACGCATGCGGACATTGCCACTGGGGCCATCGGTGGAGCTCCTTATGGGGCCGCGAAGCGCTGTACTGGGTGGGGAAACGCATGCGGACACCGCCACTGGGGCCTTCGGTGAAGCTCTCTATGTGGCCACGGAGCGCTGCACTGGGTGGGAGGAAACGCATGCGAACATCGCCGCTAAGGCCTTCGGTGGGGCTCCCTATGGGGCCACGAAATGCTGTGCTGGGAAACGCTTGCGGATACCGCCACTGGGACCTTCGATAGGGGCACCCTTGTGGGGCCACGAAACGCTGTACTGGGTGGGGGAAACGCATGTGACCGCAGCCACTTGGACCTTCGGTGGAGCTCCCTATGGGGCCACGAAGCGTGCGAGGGGTAGGCCAAAGTGAACAGGAGGAGGCATATGAACGCGGCCACTGCGGCTTTGGGTGGAGCTCCTTGTGGGGCCACAAAACGTGTGAGGGGGGGTGCCAAATTGGACAGGAAATGCATGTGATCGCAGCCACTGAGGCCTTCGGTGGAGCCCCCTTGAAGGGCCACGTGTGAGGGGTGTGCCAGAATGGGTCGGCGCCGCCATGCGGACTGCGCCACTGGAGCTCCTTATGGGGCAACGAAGCGTGTGAGGGGGGGCCAAAGTGGACTGTAGGCGGCATGTGAACCCCGCCATTAGGGCCTTCGATGGAGCTCCTTATGGGGCCACGAAACGTGCGAGGGGTGGGCCAAAGTGGACAGGAGGCGGCATGTGAACGCAGCCACTGGGGCCTTGGGTGGAGCTCCGTGTGGGTGGGCCAAAGTGGACTGTAGGCGGCATGTGAACGCAGCAACTGTGGCCTTGGGTGAAGCTCCCTATGGGGCCACTAAACGTGTGAAGGGTGTGCCAAAGTGAACAGAAGGCAGCATGTGAACGCACCCTCTGGGGCCTTGGGTGGAGTTCCTTGTGGGGCCACGAAACGTGTGAGTGGTGGGCCTAAGTGAGGGGGTGACGGGAGGAGGGAGAGGAGGGGGAGAAGGAGGAGAGGAGGGGAGGAGGCGAGGAGAAGGAGGAGGAGGAGGACGACGAGGAGGAGGAGGGGAGGAGGAGGAGGAGGGGAGGAGGAGGACGTGGGGCACCGTCTTTTCAAAACGAGGACCCAACACTACATGATGGTTTGGACACTTGAATTGTCGGATGTCCGCGCGGATTTCTCGGATCGGCGCTGGAGCCCCCTGGCGACGCCTGCGGCCCCTGCGGCGCCGCTCTTGGCACACTTTACGCGCCAGGGAAGGAGGTCCAGCGCCGATGCATGAAATCAGCGCGAACCCCTGAAAGTTCGTGTTTATGAATCATGTGTTCCTCGAGTGCCAGGGGCGCCTTCCGCGGCGGGGCGCCAGCAGGCCGCCAGACATGCAGCTTTGGGGGGGCTTTACGGGAAATTCGCCGGCACGGAAGCGGAGCAAAAACAGTAGTACCATTGTATTGAGGCTTCGGGTTGCGCACAGACGGCAACCACCAGGTAGTCCCGGCAGGCTTCAAGAGGCCCCCCAATAGCTCAGGCCGGTCTCAACACCCCGGCGCCGCCTGCGGCGGCGCCCCTGGGCCCTTTGCGCCCCATGGTTGGGGTGGTGAGACCGACCCAGGCTTCTCGGGGGGCCTGTTGAGACCAGCTGGGATTGTTCGGGAAGCCTGTCGAGGCCAGCCAGGACTACTTGGGGGGACCGCCTGTGCGCAACCCGAATCCTTTCCTACGGAAGCGGAGCAGAAGCAGTAATACCACTTCAGCGCAGTGAAAGTCCCATGAGAGAATCGGATACTGAAAGCCACCGAGACCTCAGCCGTTGGGATTCAAAGTCCGCGAGGGTCTCACACGAGTTCCCGAGTATTGAAATTCACTTGGCCGCAAGCCGCGTCATTGTTGCAAATGTATACTGCGAGATGCGTGTAAAGATATCTCCTGCGACACGTATTAACCTTCCTACATGTACGTCTGGTTGTGCGACGGGTATCTGCCTTTGGCCCATCCCGCCATCGTGCCTGGGTCGTGGATACTTCTTGGAGCCTCTAAGAGGGCTCTTGCGGGCCTCTTGGGGCCTCTCGGGAGCCTCTTGGGACCCATGAGCGCTCAGAATTTCAGGGGAAATCGTGGTCCGGGCCTACTTATAGTAGCGTTTCGGAATATCACAATTGTATGAGCCTTGGGGCACTCCACTGTGTGCTGAAAGCATGGTGGCGGATAGGGAGAGGAGCCCCTGTGGCCTTTTCGGCACGAGCGCTCTGGTAGCGCCACTCTGTATACATATATTACTTCACCACCGCGCCCCCGTCCGTGTTCACAGGCGGTCGCCATGGTTCTCCGCCTCCTGGCCGCTGCCGTGGCAGCGGCGCTGCTCGTGCCGGCAGAGGGGCTCGCGACACAAGGATTCCTGGGCGCGGATCGCGGGGGCCCGCTGGAGGCAGATATTCCTCCTCGTCCTCCTTCTGCCCCTCCTCCTCCTCGTTCCCCCTCCTTACTTGTCCTTTCCATGCAGGTCGAAGAGCTCGAGAGCCAGCAGAGGTTGCACGAGAGCGTGCGCGCCTATCTGGACCAGGCGCTCAAGTCAGACGACGGGCTGGCCGAGGAGGAGAGGACGGTCATGGATGAGCTCGCCAACTCGGCGCGGATGGAGACAGTCTCCAAGGCTAAGCAGGGGCAGGAGCTCCAGATGGTGGAGGACATGCTGAAAGAGTTGGACGAGCTTCAGATGCTGGACGGCTCCGATAACGAGACTAAGCAGGGTGCCGAGAACGAGACGAACGACCTCAAGACAGCGAGGCACGTGGCGGCTGTCGCGTTCCGCAAAGCCATCCGCAATCATCTCAGGAGGCCTGCCAAGGCGAAGCGCCACCACAAGGAAGGCGAGCCCGCCGAGGACCTCAGTGCGCCCGAAGATTTGAACGCCTGGGTGCACGAGGCGAACAGGGCGGCCCAGGAGTTGGAGAAGGAGGCGAAGAACGAGGAAAGCGATCTTGGGGAGGCCGTGCCCAAGGGCGAGGAGGAGAAGAACCTGAGGAGGGTCGCGGATCTCATCGACGAGGTGGACCCCAAGAACGCGTCCGAGATGGCCGACCTCGGGGATGCGCTGGCCCAGGTCGAAAGGAGGCCCAAGCGCAAGGCGGCGCGCCGGTCCAACCAGATAGTGTCTGCGTCGGATGCAGATTCGAAGATGGTTGAGGCCATGAGAAGTTGGATGGCCGAGGCCAACAAGGCTGCCCAGGACTTGGAGAAGGAGGCGAAGAACGAGGAAAGCGATCTTGGGGAGGCCGTGCCCAAGGGCGAGGAGGAGAAGAACCTGAGGAGGGTCGCAGATCTCATCGACGAGGTGGACCCCAAGAACGCGTCCGAGATGGCCGACCTCGCGGACGCGCTGGCCCAGGTCGAAAGGAGGCCCAAGCGCAAGGCGGCGCGCCGGTCCAACCAGATAGTGTCTGCGTCGGATGCGGATTCGAAGATGGTTGAGGCCATGAGAAGTTGGATGGCCGAGGCCAACAAGGCTGCCCAGGACTTGGAGAAGGAGGCGAAGAACGAGGAAAGCGATCTTGGGGAGGCCGTGCCCAAGGGCGAGGAGGAGAAGAACCTGAGGAGGGTCGCAGATCTCATCGACGAGGTGGACCCCAAGAACGCGTCCGAGATGGCCGACCTCGCGGACGCGCTGGCCCAGGTCGAAAGGAGGCCCAAGCGCAAGGCGGCGCGCCGGTCCAACCAGATAGTGTCTGCGTCGGATGCGGATTCGAAGATGGTTGAGGCCATGAGAAGTTGGATGGCCGAGGCCAACAAGGCTGCCCAGGACTTGGAGAAGGAGGCGAAGAACGAGGAAAGCGATCTTGGGGAGGCCGTGCCCAAGGGCGAGGAGGAGAAGAACCTGAGGAGGGTCGCGGATCTCATCGACGAGGTGGACCCCAAGAACGCGTCCGAGATGGCCGACCTCGGGGATGCGCTGGCCCAGGTCGAAAGGAGGCCCAAGCGCAAGGCGGCGCGCCGGTCCAACCAGATAGTGTCTGCGTCGGATGCGGATTCGAAGATGGTTGAGGCCATGAGAAGTTGGATGGCCGAGGCCAACAAGGCTGCCCAGGACTTGGAGAAGGAGGCGAAGAACGAGGAAAGCGATCTTGGGGAGGCCGTGCCCAAGGGCGAGGAGGAGAAGAACCTGAGGAGGGTCGCGATCTCATCGACGAGGTGGACCCCAAGAACGCGTCCGAGATGGCCGACCTCGGGGATGCGCTGGCCCAGGTCGAAAGGAGGCCCAAGCGCAAGGCGGCGCGCCGGTCCAACCAGATAGTGTCTGCGTCGGATGCGGATTCGAAGATGGTTGAGGCCATGAGAAGTTGGATGGCCGAGGCCAACAAGGCTGCCCAGGACTTGGAGAAGGAGGCGAAAAACGAGGAAAGCGATCTTGGGGAGGCCGTGCCCAAGGGCGAGGAGGAGAAGAACCTGAGGAGGGTCGCGGATCTCATCGACGAGGTGGACCCCAAGAACGCGTCCGAGATGGCCGACCTCGGGGATGCGCTGGCCCAGGTCGAAAGGAGGCCCAAGCGCAAGGCGGCGCGCCGGTCCAACCAGATAGTGTCTGCGTCGGATGCGGATTCGAAGATGGTTGAGGCCATGAGAAGTTGGATGGCCGAGGCCAACAAGGCTTCCCAGGACTTGGAGAAGGAGGCGAAGAACGAGGAAAGCGATCTTGGGGAGGCCGTGCCCAAGGGCGAGGAGGAGAAGAACCTGAGGAGGGTCGCAGATCTCATCGACGAGGTGGACCCCAAGAACGCGTCCGAGATGGCCGACCTCGCGGACGCGCTGGCCCAGGTCGAAAGGAGGCCCAAGCGCAAGGCGGCGCGCCGGTCCAACCAGATAGTGTCTGCGTCGGATGCGGATTCGAAGATGGTTGAGGCCATGAGAAGTTGGATGGCCGAGGCCAACAAGGCTTCCCAGGACTTGGAGAAGGAGGCGAAGAACGAGGAAAGCGATCTTGGGGAGGCCGTGCCCAAGGGCGAGGAGGAGAAGAACCTGAGGAGGGTCGCGGATCTCATCGACGAGGTGGACCCCAAGAACGCGTCCGAGATGGCCGACCTCGCGGACGCGCTGGCCCAGGTCGAAAGGAGGCCCAAGCGCAAGGCGGCGCGCCGGTCCAACCAGATAGTGTCTGCGTCGGATGCGGATTCGAAGATGGTTGAGGCCATGAGAAGTTGGATGGCCGAGGCCAACAAGGCTTCCCAGGACTTGGAGAAGGAGGCGAAGAACGAGGAAAGCGATCTTGGGGAGGCCGTGCCCAAGGGCGAGGAGGAGAAGAACCTGAGGAGGGTCGCGGATCTCATCGACGAGGTGGACCCCAAGAACGCGTCCGAGATGGCCGACCTCGGGGATGCGCTTGCCCAGGATAGGACTTCCCAGCGTAAGCTCAAGACAAGGGGAGAGGGTGATGCGAAGGTGGACGCTATGGATTCGAATGATGGCGAGGCGAAGGAGAGCGAGGAGAGGCGAGGGGAGGCTGCCGCGGCGGCACTAGAAACGCCGATGATAGAGCAGGGGCATCCCAGCCGCGCCAACCTACCCGAGGAGGGCTTGGCGAAGGAGGGTGAGGGGAGGCAAGCGGAGGAGGCTATGAAGAGCTGGGTTGCCGAAGCTGATAAGGCAACAAACGATATCGACAGGGAGATCGACGAGGCGATCGACGAGCTCAAGGATGAGGCCCCCAAGAGCGATGAAGAGAAGGATTTGGAGCGGATGCAAAATCTCATCGACGCGACGGATCCGGATAACGCAAGCGAGGTTGCGGATTTGGCCGCGTCCTTGGCCAGGAGCGGATCCTTTACTCGCCGCGTCGGCAAGTTCGCGGCTCCACCTGCTTCTGGCTGGTCTCAGAAAGTCGCCAAGGAGTTCTGGAGCTGGCTGAAGAGTGCGGAGACGGAGAGCAGGAGCTTGGACCGGGACCTGGACGCCTCGACGAAGGAACTCTCTGAGTACCTGAAAGGCATGACCAGCAAGCAGGAGTTCGCGGTGCACAAGGAGCTGGAGATGCTGGAGGAGATCTGGGCCAAGTACGGCTTGGAGAACGAATCGGCCACCGCGGAGGACGTGATGGAGAAGCTGGTCGCCGACGCCCCCGCAGCGGCCTAGCCGCCTACCCGCGCCCCTTGGATGTAGCGCCGCGGGGGCCCATCGCAACCAGCTTCCTCCCCACCCGCATCCTGCTCTGCTCCTCTTGTTGCCCTCTTGCTCCTGCTGCTGCTGCTGCTCCTCCTCCTTGTCGCAAAATTGCTTCATAGTGGCAGCAAGACCCTGGCGATTCGTTTTGCCTGGCTGTTTTGCCTGCAGTGCTCGCCCTCACGGCGGCAAACGTTCAAACGTTGCCACCATTTTGTTGCAGTTGCCGTTGAATCATGGTGATGAAGCATGCGCATCAGGACACCTGCGGTGAGAAGGTCATTGATTCGGCTTCGCGCATCGTCATTCAGTGAGGGGGCCGAGCGGTCTTACACTGTCATCGGGTGCGTGGCCGAAGTGGGATTCCGCGGTGCGGGTCATCGTTCTTCGTGTTGTCGGCCTGGCCTCGCGACCCACCCGCACCCCGCCCCGCGACTTACTCCGCGACCCACCCCGCGACCCACCCGCGACCAAACCCTGACCCACCCAGGACCAACCCGCGACCCACCACTGTTTTGCAAAACCCTTTAAATGGAACAGAAATGGCGCTTGCGGCAGTCTGTTTTGTAAGAGCCATCGCCATGCTTTGAGTTTGGTCTCAAGTCTCGCAAACTGCCGACAGCACCCGCCGGGAAAACTCAGACCAGAAACAGCAATCCTCTACCACAACAGGCTCGTCCATACCAGGCATGCGAAGGCAAAACCATAACAGCCTGTTCCACACCGGGGGCAAGCTGTTCCTGCACCAGCAGCGCGACGGTCCACACCAAGAACGGTCTCGGGGGACTCCCAGAGCAGCCGTGCAGTTGTGGCGGGAGGAGGACACTGAAGACGATACGGAGGGAAGGAGGGAGAGGATGAGCATAAAGCATAGTAAGGATGGCGGAAGAGAGCAAGGAGGTGAGGTTGATGAGCACGTGGGAGACATGGCAAGGTTAGTGGAGAGGGCGGAGATGAGGGGGGAGAGGAAGAAGGCTCAGGATGGGGGAAGAAAGTGATGAGGTGGGTCGGGCGTGAGGGGGCGAGGCTGGGTGCGGCGGGGGATAACGAGGAGTGCTTGGGGAAGGGTCCTGAGGAGAAGGAGAAAGGTGTAGGCGATAATGACAATGGGAAGGCAGGGTGGCGGAAGCCGTGTAGGAGGAGGATGGGGGGGTAATGGTGAGTGTCGCGACGGGGAGGCCGGCGGAGGGCGAAAGGGCCAACGAAACACGCGGAGGAGGAGGAGGAGGGGCCAGAGCACGAGCAGGATCAGCAAGATAACAAAGGGTACCTCGAAATAGAGCGGTGGGAAACGCGATGGTTGTGACCCATGCTCCGACTTAGTGTGGTCCGGAAATCACCCAACTAGACCGGATGTGGCGGACGGTAACGCTGAGTGTGTGAGGGAAGGTCCTGAGGAGAACGAGGAGGGATGAGGTAATGAGGAGTGCGTGGGAGAGGGTTCTGAGGAGAAGGTAGTGGGTGGAAGGGATGAAGGCTTAGGATTTTGAGTGTCAGGGTTAGGCCTGGTGTTTAGACTTAGTGCGTTAGGGTTAGTGTGCCAGGGGTAAGGTCAGGGTGTCAATGTTAGAGGGGTGGGATTATTGTTACGGTCAGGGTATTAGGGTGCTACGGCTAGGGTGCTAGGGTTAGGGTGTAAGTTGTTTCGCCCCCCCCCCGCTTTGCCACGTGGCGAGTTGAGTAGGACTGTTAGACTTTTGTTCGCCCCCATGCATTGCCATGTGGCGAGTAGAGTGGGTCGCACTTGTTCGCGCCCCGTCGACGCCACGGTCGGTAGAGTGACAGAGTCTATGGAGTGAAGCAGGGGGAACTGGGGATGGGGCCCCCAGCGCGAAGGAGAGAGGTGGGCGCCGCTCAGGATGAGGGTGTTCGGGTTACGGGGTTAGGGTAAGAGCGTTGCGTTGCAGTGCTGGGGTTGGGTCGTGAGGATTACGGTCATGAGCTTTGGCTTAGCGTGTCGCGCCGCCAGTACTGGCCAACCAGGCTTCAGCGCGACACGCTATCCTCGTCCCCGCCCCCCAACGTGAACGTCTCGAGCCTTTCGAAGCCTCCCGCGGAGCGGAGTCACACGCTATCTGCTCGCAGGGCATAGCGTGTCGCCAGGGCCGCCGCCGCGACATCCTAAGTCAAAGTTCCTGACCGTAGGATTAGGTCGTGAGGGTTAGGGTCAGGGTGTCAGGGTTAGGGTTTTACGGTTGGGATGCTAGGGTCAGTGCTTAGGGTTCGGGTGTTAGTGTGTTTGGGTTTCGGTGCTGAAGCCCCTTTGAAAGAAAGTTGACCGATGGATTCAGCAGCCCATTTCCCGCCCAGATCCAACGTTGGCTTGTGGCGGGGCCGCTGCAGCGCCGCGGGGTTCGATGAAACAGTGGACCTGGGATGGGGGCGCCGGCCGTTGCGAGAAAATGCCCCCATGACCAGGCAGTCCCATGAAGACCCCGATGCGACCCCGAAGCGTCCCCTGAAACCCATGGCCACTTTCGTCAAGTCGTTCTTCAGGAGTGTGGTGCGCTATTTGCTCCTTCGTGTGCGTTCGAGTGCGCGTGCGTGGGGGAGTCTTCGCGCATCGTCTCCCTGCGTCGGTCTTCCCGCCCCGATGTGGTCGTGGTCGTCGTCGTCGTGGTCGCATCGTCGTCGGACCATCTTCGCCATCGTCAGTGTCATCGTCGCCCTCGTCATCGTCATCGTCGCCGTTGTCAGCATCGTCATTCGCCTGGTCGTCGTCATCGTCGGCACCGTCGTCGACATCGTCATTATTCACCGTTCTGGCCCTCGCTGTCTATGTCGTTGTTGACATCGTCGTCGTAACCATCGTGTTCGTCATCGCCGTCTTCATCGCCGTTGTAACCAGCGTCGTCGTACCGAATGGCCGCAACATCAACACTGCAACGCGTATAACCTATACATTGCGGATCTGCAATGTGTAAGTTTTACACATTGCAGTTTTGATGTTGCGGCCCCTTCTCGTCGCCACATTAAGCCTCCCACAGGCTGAATATCTTCAACCACGCAGGTCGGCCATTCGTTACGACGTCGACGGGTGTCGACGGACGCGACTACGACGACGGCCACCACACGACGACGACCACGACGGCGACCACGACCACGACCACGACGACGGCCACGATCACGACCACCACGACGACAGTGACCACGACCACGACGACGACCACGACCACGACCATGAACAAGACAAGGACGACCACGTCGACGACCACGACCACGAACAATGACAACGACATTGACCCCGACCACGGCGATGACCACGATGACGACCATTCCATGATCAGGACCACGACCACGACCACGACTTCGACTACTACGACGACCAAGACGACGACGAGGACCGCGACCACGGCCACCACGCCGACGATGTCAACAAAGTCGACAACGACGACGGCCACGCCGACGGCCACGACGAGGCCGACCACGACCACGACCACGACGACGACCACGATGGCGACAACGACGACCACGGCCGCGACCACAACCACAAAGACGACGCCCACCACGAGGGCGACCACGACGCCACGCTCACGACCACTACGACGACAACTACGTCGTCAACAACCGCGACCACGGCGACGACGATCACGACCACGCGCAGGAACTCGATCAAGACGGCAACCTCGACCACGACGACGACCACGACGACGACGATGACGACGACGACCGCGACCACGACCACGACGATAACGCCAACCGCCAGCACGTCGACGCCGGCGACGGCCACGGACGACGATCGCGACCGCGCCCGCGACCACGACGACGACGACGGCGGCGACGACGACACCGACCACGACGACGACCAACACGACAACGACCACGACGATAACGACGACCACGACCATAACGACCACAACCACGACGACGACCACAACCATGACTACGCCGCCGACGATGACGACACGACTACGACGACGACGACGGCGACCACCGAGGCGACGACGAACACGACGACGACAACAACGACGACGACCACTGGCCCCAGGCAACCGCGAGGTCTAGCCTGGGTGTGCGCTATGTTGGACCCCACACGAGCCCACGACCGTGGCGACAGTTGCGCAGGTGGCACTTCCACGGAGCCGCGAGGTCTAGTCTGCGCGCGCGTGTGGCGCCACTCCGCTGGTCCTCCCAGGAGCCCACGCAAGTGTCGACACTTGCGTAGGTCGTTGCACTCCCAGCGAGCCGCGACGTCTTGTCTGGGTGCGCGCAAACGCCACTCCGCTGGACCCCCCCCCAGGAGCCCACGAACGTGGCGACAAGTGCGCAACCCATGTAGCGAACCGCGGGATCTATTCGAGAGCGCGTATGACGCCACTCCTCTGGACCTCCCCTGGGTCCACCAAATTGGTGGCAGGGACCCCTGAGGTCTAGTCTGGGTGCGCGTGTGACACCTTCCGCTGAGCCCCCCAGGAGCTCAAGAGTCGACGCTTGCGCAGATGGCAGCACCCCCAGGGAGCCGCGAGGCTTTGTCTAGGTTCGCATGCGACGCCATTCCGCTGACCCCACAGGAGTCCACAAAATTACCCTGCGACGTACCCAACCCACGTGCATCAAATGGCAAGAGGAATATGCCAACATTAGCAGGAACAGCGACAGTGTAGACGCGGCGATTTGCTGTGCAAGCTACATGGGATGCGCATGCGTTGCACGATACACAGGACGACGATCGAAAGAACGAGGCTTGAGGCCCCAGGATCGAAGAATAACGGGTACGGGAACGAGGGGTAGGAGAGGGATGGAATGGAGGGCGGGGGGGGCGAAAGGCCATCGCGGAAGCAGCAGCATGCATGGAGAAGGTGAGGCGGGGAATAGGACGACGATGAAAGTGGCGGGAGGAGACAGAAGACTGCCGCGTTTTTCAAGTGCGAGCTAAACCCGCAGCGCTGCCTGCGCCATGTCGTCGCAGAGTTCCACATGATAAAACTTGTTTAGAGTGCAAGGAACGAGCGAGGCGTAGCTCGCCCGCTAGC